GAGTCAACTCTTTGCATGAGGTGGCCAAAGTATTGGAGTTTCAGCTTCAGCATCAGTCCTTCCAATGAACACCCAGGACTGATCTCCTTTAGGATGGACTGGCTGGATCTCCTTGTAGTGCAAGGGACTCTCAAGGGTCTTCTCCAACACCACAGTTAAAAAGCATCAGTTCTTTGGCGCTCACCTTTCTTCACAGTCCAACTCTCACATCCATATGTGACCACTAGAAAAACCACAGCCTTGACTAGATGCACCTTTGTTGGCAAAGTAATGTCTCTGCTTTTTAATATGACGAAAAAGCAAAAAGTTATGTCCCAGATGAAGGGAGAAGATAAAACTCGATAAAAACAACTAAGTGAAATGGAGATATGCAACCTTCCAGAAAAAGAATTCAGAATGACAGTGAAGATGGTCTAGGATCTCAGGAAAACAATGGAGAAGATGCAAGAAATGTCTGCCAAAGACCTAGAAGAAATAAAGAACAAACAAACAGAGATGAATAATACACTAGAAGGAATCAACAGCCTAATAACTGAGGCAAAAGAAGGGATAAATGACCTGGAGGACAGAATGGTGGAAATCACTGCCACAGAGAATATAGAAAAAAGAATGAAAAGAAATGAAGACAACCTAAGAGACCTCTGGGACAGCATTAAATGCACCAACATTCGAATTACAGAGGTCCCAGAAGGAAAAGAGAGAGAGAAAGGACCTGAGAAAATATCTGAAGAGGTAATAGCTGAAAACTTCCCTAATGTCAGAAAGGAAACAGTCAACCAAGTCCAGGAAGCACGGAGTCCCAGGCAGGATAAACTCAAGGAGGAACACACCGAGACACAGTGATCAAACTGACAAAACTTAAAGACAGAGATAAAATATTAAAAGTAACATGAGAAAAACAACAAATAACATACAAGGGAACTTCCATCAGGCTATCAGCTGATTTTCAACAGAAACGCTACAAACCAGAAGGGAATGGCATGATGTATTTAAAGTGATGAAAGGGAAGAACCTACAACCAAGAATACTCTACCCAGCAAGACTCTCCTTCAGATCTGATGGAGAAATCAACAGCTTTCCAGACAGGCGAAAGTTAAGAGAATTCAGCACCACCAAACCAGCTTTACGACAAATGCTAAATGAATTTCTCTAGGCAGGAAACACAAAAGAAGGAAAAGACCTACAAAAAATAAACCCAAAACAATTAAGAAAATGGTAACAGGATCAAATGCACCAATCAAAAAACAAAGACTGGCTGGGAGGATGAAAACACATGCATGTATGCACTTCCACTTACCACATCACTCTGCCTGACCCCCCAAACTGTATGTAATTATTTTATATTGTTAGGTTAATCATGTTCCCATTATGGCTTGCAATTGTAATTATCTTTCATTTTTTTATCTGGCTACTGATTGTGAAAACTGAAAAGCATCTTTTACTATTGTGATTATGTAACTATTACTCACTTAATACCACTGTATCATGATCGATCAACAGAAAAATAGTAGAACTCTGTACCACCAAAACTACGATTTAATAGAAAAACCTATAATCACTTTTTAAAATCCAGATGTATGTCAGAATTATCTTGGAATTTTTTGAAAAATATAAATGACCAGGTATTGCTTTTTTCTCCAGAGTTCCAGGTATATTTCTAACGAGCAGCCATGTTTAAAAACAACTGGACTATATGATGATCTTTCACTTTTATCTAGTTTTGTTTCACTTTTTCTACTTCATATTCAGTGCTGCCATTTCATTTAGTTTATGTCTTCCAGTTTCTCCACCTCTTTTTTTCTGATGTTCTTTCTCAAGCTTTTATCAAGCATAGCAGAAAAGCTTTTGTATACATATATATAAATATGTATAATATATATATTTAAAAACTTATGAATTTTTGCCTAACTAAAAAATGTGTATTTTGATTCCACTTTTTTGACTTAGAATGCTATATTTCTAGTTAAAAAAAAACAGATATGCAACAAACAACAAAGGTTTACTATATCTAGCACAGGGAAGTGAAGCGAAAGTCACTCAGTGAAGTCTGACTCTTTGTGACCCCCATGGACTATACAGTCCATGGAATTCTCCAGGCCAAAATACTGGACTAAATAGCTTTTTCCTTCTGCAGGGGATCTTCCCAACCCAGGGACTGAACCCAGGTCTCCTGCATTGCAGGCAGATTCCTTCCCAGCTGGGCCACAAGGGAAGCCCATGGCACAGGGAACTACAGTCAATAAATATCTTGTAATAACCTATAATGGAAAATAATTTCAAAAATAATGTGTGTGTATTTATAACTCAATCACCTTGCTGTGCACCTGAAACACTGTAAGTCAACTCTACGTCAATAAAATATATAAAGAAAAAATATCAGGGGATGCTCAAACAAGGGAATCAAATTTTAATGAGAAATGGGATATTTACATAACGTGTCTCCCTACAAAATATTTATTACCTTAAAGTTTACAGTGGAAAAACCTGATGTCAGCCACCACCTTAACTAAGTAATCACTTAATTAAGCACTGGTAACATGACATACTATCTACCACATGGTAAGAGGCAGTAAAGAGCACACGAGAGAAATCAGCAGACAAACCCAAACTGAGGGAAGTCTTGTAACATAACTTATCTGCAAACTGTCAGAGGCATCAAGATCATAAAAGTCAAGGCAAGACTGAGGAACTGTTGTAGACTTAAGGAGACTAAGACGACATGAGAACTAAATGCTCTGCACAACCTGGACAGGATCCTTCTGCTAATAAAGGACCAAACCACAGAACCTGAATGGAGCCTGCAGATTAGATGGGAGTAACATATCAAACCTAGTTCCTGATTCTGATGGTTCATTACTATCACATAGGAGGTCCTTGCTGCAGGAGTTACTGAAGTATTCAGGGGTCACAGAGCATCCTAAAGGCAACCTATTTTTAAGTAAAATAGAAAAAAATTCATTTGTATTATTCTCACCACTTAGCTGTTTCAAACTACTTCAAATTACCACCCCACTCCTCAAAAAAGGGGCATGTGGGAAACTTCCCTGCTGGTCCAGGGGCTAAGACTCCATACTCCCAATGCAGGGGGACCAGCTTTGATCCCTGGTCAGAGAACTAGATACTGCATGCCACTACTAAGACCTAGCACAGCCAGATAAATAATTTTTTTTAAAAAAGGGATGTGACATGACTATGTGTGTAAGTTACCCTCAAAATGTGGTTACCAATTTGTACTTCCCCAGGACAATGTATGAGAGTAAACCCAAATCAAAATTTTATTCGGTAAAAACAAAACAACTGAAAACGCTTATCCTTCCAGCTGAAAACCAAACATGCTTTCAAAAGGACATTTATATGCTCAGAAAGGGAGCAGGAAGGATGCATCCCAAACTGGTGACAATGGACACATCTGAAGAGAAAGGAGGACAAGGAGAGAGTGAGGGGGGTACTATTGTGGATTACACGCTCTTCTATATTGTTTGACTTTTTCTCCTTAAGAATATATTCAGAGAGGGATAAACTGGGTGATTGGGACTGACATATACACACTATATATATAGAACAGATAACTAATAAAAGGCCTACTATAAAGAACCGGGAACTCTACTCAATACTCTGTAACGGCCTATATGAGAAAAGAACCTAAAAAACAGAGTGGATATATGTGTATGTATAAATAATACACTTTGCTGTATAGCTGAAAGTAACACAATATTGTAAATGACCTATACTCCAAGAGAAATTTAAAAAAAAATGAAGAAGAATATATTCACTTAATACCTTCAGAAGAAAAAAAAAGGCATTGAGAGAGACACTTGTTTCCTAAGAAGTCTAAGAGTGAGTTTACAATATTACCTTTGAATTTCCTGATGCCATATGCAAAGCTTATGTGTATATGCATTATTAGCAATTTTCTGAAAATACTGAAACTGAGCAGGACCCTGCAGGGCCTTCCTGGACACAAAGCCCTTCTGTGTCCTCCATTTCTTGCTTATGGGAAAAAAAAAAGTCTTGTCTCCTAGGCCTCCCCAGGTTCCAAAGAGCAGGCTCAAGCAGTTAATGATTAGGACACAGCAGTCACAGGACTCCTAATTCCTCCTGAAGGGACGGAGGTAAGAATCTGATGCACATTTCTGAGCTATTCTTCAGAAAAGACAGCCCCCTCACCACCCAAGTGGAGGATGGCAACGTCAGGCTGACCACAAGCAACATGGAGACCCCAGACTGGTTGGAACTAGAATGTTGATGACTGAGATTCCCGACGTATCACTGCTACCTCACCACCAACCAATCAGAAGGTCCACGAGCTATCATGCATCTGAAAACCCTCTGCCTTGTCTTTAAAAACCCTTCCCTGAAAGCTACTGGGAAGTTCATATTTTTTTTTTTTTTGAGTGTGAGCTGCCCATTCTCCTTGCTTGGCATCCTTATTTTGCTGCAAAGGCCACTGTCAAGAGTTTGGCTTTATGGGACTTCCCTGGTGGTCTAGTGGTTAAGAATCCACCTGCCAATGCAGGGGACATGGGTTCAATCCCTGGTCCGGGAAGATCCCACAAGCCATGGAGCAACTAAGCCCTCATGCTCTAGGGCCCGGGTGCTGCAACAAGAGAAGGCACCAAAATGAGAAGCCCATACATCAAAACTAGACAGTGGCCCCCACTTAAAGCAATGAGAGAAAGCCCAGGCACAGCGATAAAGACCCAGCACCACCAAAAAGAAAGAAAGAAAACGTCTGGCTTTGTGTGAAGTGGGAACGCTAACCTTGCTTGGTTACAACATGGTCATAGCTTTCATCACACTCCCAAAGAGAACCCTGCCTTATACCTTCCAATAAGATTGACATTTCTCTATCTGAGCTGGGTCAGATCATCCTCACTAAGAAGATCCTAACACTATGCAGGGATACATAGTCTAGGATTTTGCAACACTCACACTGTCTTCTCAAATCGTTTAGTTAAAGCCTTTAAATCTCAGCGACAACAAAGTTTTATCTCTCTTACCTGAGAATTCGTATTTAGCACAGGACATGTCAATGGTTGACTCCAGGTCAATCTTGGAAATGTCTGAAATCCAAGACCGGAAATGTTCAAACAGAATTTTCCTATGAATGTAAACAAAAGATAACTTGTTATACCATGATGGGGGCTCCATTTGGATCTATGCCACAACTATTTTTTCCTGCAGGTTTTAGTTAAATGAAGATCCATTCTTGAGAATGTTCCTTAATTTAAACTTGCCAAGTTTAAGACTAGTATTCCCAGAGAAATAAATGCAAACCTTTCTACTGTAATATATTTTGCTCTACTGTTTCAGCTTATTTTCTCCATCTTAAATTTACAGTATTGCCCTATCACGATAGCGGTCTGGCCTTTGACAGCAGAATACCAATGTTCTAGTCCAGAGTTACTGACTTCTAGACATGCTTTTCAGCACTAATACTAGCTCTATTATTTAATGAACACTTGGGTGGGTAGCACTGTTCAGGATTAAAAACTTTAAGCTGCAGTAATGGTGACTACTATGCTAATTGTGTAATAATCAATAAACTTTTTTCATAGAAGTTCTGATACTAAGATAATACCAAAGAAAAGATGGTTGAACATTTCCATTTACAGCTAAAGTGGCTCTGAATAGAACTCTAACACAATTTAAGACTCACTCAACTCTGAAATTAGGTTAACTTGGATGGATCACCATTTTTATGTCAATTTTATCTCCATAAAATGGGGGAAAATATTTTTAAAAATATTTTTAAAGGGTTTATGCTAGTTCAAATTTTGCACATGAAGAGACAATACTGTTTCAATCATCTTAATCCAAAAGTACATAACTGAAATCCCCATAAAATGCAACTGTGCTATTAATAACTAAAGATCAAGTCTCCAGGCTGATCCCCTGAAATTTTATTACCAAATATCTTTTTATACTGTGTACTACCCAATCCAGAATGTTCCAGAATATATTGTATTTGTTAGTCTAACCATAAAAGCCATGTAACTTTTACAGGCAGAGTTGCAAATTAGAATAGACCAGCAAAGCAAACTGTAAACCAGGCTTCAGGTAAAGTGGGTGGTCAAAGTCTTGAGTCTTAAACGTTTATGCAACTGATATTATCAAAGCTTTCCATCCCTCTTTTACTGGTAACATCAATTGCCACAAATTTATTCCATAGAAAGCTCTTCCTCTGGTCATCCCATGAAGGTGTCACAAATACAGGGTTATTTTCTGCCATCATTCTCATTTGTTAACAGTATTCATGAGAGAAATAACAGAACCTAATGGGGAAATAAAAAGGTCACCTTTCTGTAAAGACAAGGAATTCCATCTCTCACACCTGTAACAATCTGGCTGTTACCATTTAGGTATAGAATGTAACTCAATCCCAGAGGAAAGAAATGCTTACCAGAGGGGTGGTGTGAACTAATGAGACAATGCCCTGGAAGCATGGTCATCGGAGAAAAAAGGTCTAAATAACTGTGAACTGTTATGAGTACAGTTAACAAATACTTCGGGTTTTAGAAGAAATAATCTGTGCAGACTGCCACTTACGGAAATATCACGGGGGTGGGGGGAGGGAAATAGAATGAGAAAAAAATAACTTGTATAGACGAAAAATAAACAGCTTTTACGAAGTAACGTGTGTCTACTGTAGCAAAACTAGGGGAAAAATCCTATAAAAAGTAAAAAGAAACTTAAAAAAACCTATAGTCCTATTAGCCAGATGTAAACATACCATTCCTACAAGTCTTTTTCTTTGTATACACATAGATAGGTATACAAATAAACATTTATTTTTTTTAAAATGAGATCACACCATGTGTGCTATTTTTAACTTCTTTTCTCTTTATATTTTTCTAGCCTATGCCTTTGCCAGCAGTAAGTATCATATTTTATAAATCACTTCAAAAAACACTGCAAATTAAACTGGGACAAAACATGAATTGTGTGAGATACTGAGTCTCAGAAAGATTAAAATGTTAAAAAAAAAAAGTGTTTTGGAACTGATGAAACAACTACCATACTCATGTATTGAGTATTTAATGGCATTAGTTCAGTTCAGTCACTTAGTTGTGTCTGACTCTTTGAGACCCCATGGATTGCAGCACACCAGGGTTCCCTGTCCACCAGCAACTCATGGAGCTTGCTCATTTAATGGTATAGTTTTCCACTTTGTGCTGTACCATTATCTGTATAACTCTTGATGGGTGGCCATTTAATTTGTATGTAATTATTCACTATTATAATAAACAATCTCATATGGAATCTTTGAGCACATCCTTATTTTCACAGGACAAATTCTTGTATGTGGAATTATACTACAAAAAGAAAGCATAATTTTAAGAGTTTTGATACATTTTTCAAAACCATCTTCTAAGAAAAATTGCAGCATTGTATATCTACACTTCTGCCAACACCGGAGCTTTTGTTTTAAATATATGTCAACCTGACAAATGTGAAAGACAGTACCGCCAGTGTTAATTTGTTTTCCTGGTTACTAACACAGTCATTTTATCACTGAAAACTTTGGCCATGGAATCAGACATGGATCTGTATCTCAGCTCCATTCTCCCCTAGATAACTTTGAAGAAATTACTACTTTCTGTTTCCTCCTCTACAAAAGGGGACAATAATGCCAACAAAGATGGCATGATGTGACATGTAAAGCACTTACTCCTTTGCCTGGCACATATTAGGCCCCCAACAAGTATGAGTACTCCTTTACCTTAAAGCACAGATGTGGGGCTCTCTTCTCTTCTTCAGATCATCAGACTTGACCGTGAAAAAACAAAAACAGGATTTCCTTCATAAATCAGACACTCAGAGCAGGGCAGTTCAGGGAGGGAGCATGCTGGCAGCCCGGCACTGTCACTGAGAGCCCGGACTCTGAAGCCAAACTGCCTGGGGTTGACACATGGCCCCCTCCATTTGGCAGCTCTGGGACTTGGGCACGTTGCTTAGCCTCTCTGTGCATTATTCATTCAATAAATACTTACAAAGGTATTACAGTGGAGCTTATATATTCTTGTGGGGGAAAGACAGTAAACATTAAAAGTTGATTATTAGAATAAAAAAGGAGAGAAATGTCAAGGGAAAATAAAGCAGAGTATGAGGGACCAGGAGCGCTGAGAGCAGGGAAGGGCTTGCAATTACAAATTTGGTGGCCAGGTTAGACTTCATGCACGTGCAGCACAGGCTTAAAGGAAGCTGGGAGGTGTACCCAGGGAAGATCTCAGCAAAGCAGATTCAATGTCCTGAGTGGGAAGAATGCCTGGCCTGTTGAAGAAATCATAGGATGTGGCTTAGCGAGTTGGAGGGAAGCAGCAGGAGGTGGGGCCAAAGGTGTAGTGGGAGACGTATAACCACTCTGGTTTTTGCTCAGAGAAATGAAAAGCTTAAGGAGAGTCTGAGCAAAACTTTTTAGAACTGAGATGAAATTCACTTAACATAAAATTTACTATTTTAACATCTCCAAGAGTGTAATTCAGGGGACTTTTAGTATTTTCACATGTGCAACTATCACAGATGCATGCTCAGTTGTATCCGACTCTTTGCGACCCCACGGACTGTAGCCTGCCAGGCTCCTCTGTCCATGGAATTCTCTAGGCAAGAAAACTGGAATGGGTTGCCATTTCCTACTCCCACTATCTAATTCTAGAATATCTTCATCACACCAAAAAGAAACCCTTTACATATTAGGCAGTAATTCCCCAACCCCACCCCCTAGCTCCTGGCAACCACTAATGTACTCTCTACATTTTGCTGGTTATTACCTATAAATGGAATCACACTATATGTGGCCTTCTGTGTCTAGCTTCTTTCACTGAGTTTGTTTTCAAAGTTTACCCATGATGCAGCAGTATTTAGTACTTCGTTCCTTTTCCTGGCTGAATAATATTCCATTGTATAGACATACCACTTTGATCTATTCATTCATCATCAGTTGATGGACACTGGGTGTTTCTACTTTTTGGCTATTATAAACAATGCTGCTTTGAAATCTGAGTACAAATTTTTATGTGAGCAAATGATTTCAATTTTCTTGGGTCCATTAACATTTTTTTTTTTTTTTCCATTAACATTTTAAACAAACACAATGGCTGTAGGTGGGCCAAGGGAAGAAGCTAGGAGAGTAGTTAATCCACCAACAGGATAATACTGGTGAGAGAAAAGGCTTGGGTCAGGTGACAGCTGTTAGCAGTGGAAATGAAAAGTGTGTTTTTTGAATATATTCTGACAGTAGATCCAACAGAATTTTCCAATCGACTGGAGAAGAGGTGTGAGCGACGAATGAAGGGTGACCTCAAGGTTTCTGGCTTGGGTCACTGGAAAGATTGACTCTCATGAACTGAGATGGGGGGAAATTGTAGGTGGCGCAGATTAAAGGCGAGAAGACAAGGAGTGTAGTTTTTGAAAGTGTGAAACACTTAACAGATATCCAAAGTGGAGGCAAAGCCATGAGACTTCCTGAAGTCTCCAAGGCAAAAGTCCTAGAGTACTCTGTCATTAAGAAGCCAAGTACCAAAGGAAGACCTGCTGAAGGGAACTAAGAAAGACTTGCCAGTGAGGTAGAAGGAAAATGAGAGTGAACGTAAAGTATCCTGAATGTAAAGTGAAAAACCAGAAAAAAAATCAGGCTACTCCTAATGACTAACTTGGTTAGGAGAACTGGAAGTTGTTATAGACCCAATTATCGAGTCAATTCATAGCACAAGCAAACAAAATGGGCTATAAGTGAAGTTTGATGGGACAGGAGATGGAAAGCAGGTTTATATTTACTGTCTTCAGGTAAAGAAGTCCCACAGTGAGCATAGTGAAAAATTATTCACAGAAGTTCCATTAAGCACTGTGGGGATCCAAAGTAATGGCTTCTTTCTCCCTCATTACCTTAGGGCCATTTTTACTATTTTGCCTCTCATGGACTTCACAGAAGTATTTTTCATATACTGAATTGCATTAAGTAAAAACCAGTTTGGCTTCTCAATTTCAGTAATCGGATATGCATATAGCCCCAAATCAACAAAAGAGGCCTAGTGTTATCAAAGCTGATATAATTACAAAGATAGATGACTATGATTTTTATTAACTTATACAACTTCACTATGGATAAAAGCTATTTTTCATTAGATTTCCAGAATTAAGAAGAGAACATCATTTGTATATTTAACCAGATTAAATCATACATATAAAAGGCCCAAAGATAGACAGACTGGGGGACACAACCAGCTGGAGTGCAAAAGACTAAACATAAGACAGAGGAATTTGTTACTTTTACCCTAGATAAGAAGAAGTAAAAGGGAAAATGGAAAGAAAACAAGATAGTTCTTCATCCTCATTTTTTTGTGATTTTAAGGGCTGTCTTTAAAGTTTTATAAAGATCTCCAAGAGTGATGTACAATGAAAAATACCTCCCCAAACTGGGCAAACCAATGACCTGTATATTTTTAAACCTAGCATGGGCCTGGGTTCTAACAGCAGGAAAACAAGCCTTGATTTTGAGATAGTCTTCTGTCAAATTCAACTGTCCACCAATTTAAAAAGACTAGATCTAACTCTCTGCAAGACATATGGCAATACATAAATCCACCTAAACAAAAGACACAAACTCAAAAATTTAATTGGTTAGTGGCTCAGACAGTAAAGAATCTGCCTGCAATGCAGTAGACCCGGGCTCAATCCCTGAGTCAGGAAGATCTCCTGGAGAAGGGAATGGCAACCCACTCCAGTATTCTTGCCTGGGAAATGCCATGAACAGAGGAGCCTGGCAGGCTACAGTCCATGGGGTCACAAAAGAGTCAGATATGACTGAGCAACTAACGCACTATCTTCCAATGTACTACTCTCTTTATTATATCACTCCCCAAAATGTACTTATCAGCTTACTGTACATCTTGACTATCTTTCACCATCACTACCACCTCTATAACTTTAAATTTTAAAGGCTTTCAGGGCAGGAACTGGCAAAGACTCGCCCATAGTAATTAACACCTAACACACAGTGCTCAGGTTATGTTAAATAAATGAATGTTTTTAACAATGTCAAGACCAGGACCCCCAGTGGCAAACCCAAACTAAAACCTCAAGTCGATAAGGTACTGAATGATTTTTATAGAAAACAACTTTCTGAAGTGGAAAAGCTAATGTGAAAGGGGCATAAATACCTGCTGGAACTTATATAAATCGTTATACTTTTCATGGAAGTCCAAGTTCAAGAGTTCCTTCTGAAGTCCTTCCAAGAAGTTTTGGCTTTGGATGAAGTTTGGGATCACACAGTGAAGAAAGGGGTCCATGTCCATGACAATCGCTTCTGTTGGGAAGAAAGTGTTATCCGTGACTTTTCCTGCTTGCATTTTTGACTCATGAATAGCACAGCAGAGAGAATACAAAAGGGATGCTGATGAATTTTCAGAAACTTAGTACCTGAAGTCAAAGATTTGGAGGAAGAACCGTAAGCTCTTTTTCTTTTCTCTTCCCACTCAATACTACTTTGCAAAGGTATTGTGCTTAACAATGTTAGGCCTTAAGATGAATAGGTGCTATCACTAAATTAAGACTCCTGCTCTTTTCGAGAGTTTTTTAGTTCACTGATTACTTACTCAGCTGAATGCATTTTAGTCTTAATTCATTTCCCCCTAAACTTCAAATCAAAGTAGCAAATTAAAAAAAGAATAGCAATACTGGCTGGCAATTTTTTTCAATCCTTTTTCTTTCCCTAAGGTACTGCTAGAGGAAGTCACTATATATATATATATATATATATTTTTTTTTTTTTTTTTTTAAATAGGGTCAGGTATAACCTCCTCTGGGACTTCCCTGCTGGCTCAGACAGTAAAGTGTCTGCCTACAATGTGGGAGACCCGGGTTCAATCCCTGGGTCAGGAAGATCTCCTGGAGAAGGAAATGGCAGCCCACTCCAGTACTCTTGCCTGGAAAAATCCCACGGACGGAGGAACTTGGTAGGCTACAGTCCATGGGGTTGCAAAGAGTCGGACACAACTGAGAGACTTCACTTTCACTTTTCACTTTATAACCTCCTCTAACTCCTTGAGTTTTATCTCAACGTTTTACCCACTAAGGCTGCTGGGAGAGATTATGTACCCCTCTAATAAAACTCACCACCGCCACCACGCACCAGGCGCCAGGCACAGTAGAGCTTCATAGTGTAAAGCTTACAGGTGTTATCTTGTTTAGTCTTTTCAACAGTTTTAAGGTAGACCGCATCACTATCTCTATCCCACACAGAAGGAAACTACAAAATGCCTGGTGCACAGAGCTTAAACATGAAGCCATCACTTTATACGTGCATTCAGAACACCCAAGACTCAGCTCCTTAAAGCACTTAACCAATGAAACAAAAAACCTGACAAACTTTAGAAGCGAAAGTATGATGCATTAAGCAGAGTCCTTATCTTACAAGGTGATATTTGAAGCTGAGGATGAAATAATTTGAGGCAGGTTCCTTCCTTTGTTCAAACCATGTTATGAACAGCATGGGTCATGCTGTTGAACTATAGGCTGGCAAAACTGAGCAAGCCCAGGTGCCTAATACCAGGCAGCTCTCAACAAATGTTCTGGCTATGCTATCACAGGACAAACAAGCATCACCTTCAGAGGAAAAACCTGCAAAAGCCACTCGACTAGGTGTCCAAATGCTTACTAGTCCTTACTCAGAAAAATATGTATTGATATACGCAGGCATCAGCTCATTAATCACTCTCCTCTTTTCCAGAGAAATATTATTGATTAAAAGGCAAAATGGTTGTCCAAGGAGGCCTTACAAATAGCTGAGAAAAGAAAAGATGGGAAAGGCAAAGGAGAAAAGGAAAGACAGACCCATTTGAATGCAGTTCCAAAGAATAGCAAGGGGAGATAAGAAAGCCTTATCAGTGATCAATGCAAACAAATAGAGGAAAACATCAGAATGGGAAAGACTAGAGATCTCTTCAAGAAAATTAGAGAGACCAAGGGAATATTTTATGCAAAAATGGGCATCATAGGAACAGAAATGGAATGGACCTAACAGAAGCAGAAGATATTAAGAAGAGGTGGCAAGAATACACAGAAGAACTAAACAAAAAAGATCTTCATGACCAGATAACCATGATGGTGTGATCACTCACCTAGAGCCAGACATCCTGGAATGTAAAGTCAAGTGAGCCTCAGGAAGCATCATTATGAACAAAGCTAGTGGAGGTGATGGAATTCCAGTTCCGCTGTTTCAAATCCTAAAAGATGATGTTGTGAAAGTGCTGCACTCAATATGCCAGCAAATTTGGAAAACTCAGTAGTGGCCACAAGACGGGGAAAGGTCAGTTTTCATTCCAATCCCAAAGGAAGGCAATGCCAAAGAATACTCAAACTACTGCACAATTGCACTCATCTCACACACTAGCAAAGTAATGCTCAAAATTCTCTAAGCCAGGCTTCAACAGTATGTGAACTGTGAACTTCCAGATGTTCAAGCTGGTTTTAGAAAAGGCAGAGGAACCAGAGATTAAATTGCCAACATCCGTTGGATCATTGAAAAAGCAAGAGTGTTCCAGAAAAACATCTACTTCTGCTTTATTGACTATGCCAAAGCCTTTGACCATGTGAATCACAACAAACTGTGGAAAATTCTTAAAGAGATGGGAATATCAGGGCACCTTCCCTGTCTCCTGAGAAATCTGTATGCAGGTCAAGAAGCAACAGTTAGAACTGGACACGGAACAACAGACCGGTTCCAAATCGGGAAAGGAGTACATCAAGGCTGTATACTGTCACCCAACTTATTTAACTTATATGTAGACTACATCATGCCAAATGCCGGGTTGGAAGAAACACAAGCTGGAATCAACATTGCCAGGAGAAATATCAATAATCTCAGATATGCAGATGACACCACCCTTATGGGAGAAAGTGAAGAACTAAAGAACCTCTTGATGAAAGTGAAAAGAGGAGAGTGAAAAAGTTGGCTTACAACTCAACATTCAGAAAACAAAGATCATGGCATCTGGTCCCATCACTTCATGGCAAATAGATGCAGAAACAATGGAAATAGTGAGAGATTTTATTTTCTGAGGCTCCAAAATCACTGCAGATGGTGACTGCAGCCATGAAATTAAAAGACGCTTGCTCCTTGGAAGGAAAGTTATGACCAACCTAGACAGCATATTAAAAAGCAGAGACATTACTTTGCCAACAAAGCTCTGGTCTAGCCAAAGCTATGGTTTTTCCAGTTGTCATGTATGGGTGTGAGAGTTGGACTATAAAGAAAGCTGAGCGCCAAAGAATTGATACTTTTGAATTGTGGCGTTGGAGAAGACTCCTGAGAGTCCCTTCAACTGCAAGAAGATCCAACCAGTCCATCCTAAGGGAAATCAGTCCTGAATAGTCATTGGACGGACTGATGCTGAAGCTGAAACTCCAATACTTTGCCACCTGATGCAAAGAACGGACTCACTGGAAAGACCCTGATGCTGGGAAAGATTGAAGGCGGGAGAAGAAGGGCGACCAAGAATGAGATGGTTGGAGGGCATCACCAACTCGAGTGATGGACAGGAGTCTGAGTAAGCTCCGGGAGTTGGTGATGGACAGGGAAGCCTGGCGCGCTACAGTCTATGAGGTCGCAAAGGGTCGGACATGACTGAGAGACTGAACTGATCTTTGTTTACACAGTAAGGAGCTGAACCCATTGCCCAACGACGCACAAACAGCGAAGAAGATGCTAACTCGCTAGTCTCTAATTTCAGAATTTCCACCAACTTGCATGCCCTCTACTTCATGAAACTTCCTGGCCTACATTTCTTCCTCTACTGGGTTTCTAAAGCCAAATGAACTTGGATTAAAAAGGGACAGCAGTCCAGGCAGGAGAGTCGGAGGCGGCCAAAGTCACGTTCTCTCCAAGAGCCTCTTGTACTGTAGTTTAGTTGCTCGACTGCCAGGACTTTTTCAGAGGCCCCCAACCCGGCGCTGCGCCTCCCTCATCACAGCGCCTGCTTACCGTGGCGGAACGGTGTCCTGCGACTCCAGGCCTCAGCCACTTGCTTTTTCAAAGTTTCCTCTGTGACAGCATCCGAAAACTTCGCCATCACCTCCTTCTTTCCTTTTTTCCCCGCCCGGTCAGAACCGGGCTCAGCAGGCCGCTTTCCGCTCATCTCTTCGCTAGCTACAAGACCCACGCCAGGCTGAAGTAGCAGCTCTTTTCTTAAAGAGACTATAATTCCCAGAATGCCTCCTTGCCCGTGTTTCCCTACCGCTATCCAATAGAAAGCACCGAGGTAGAGGAAGGCGGAACCAATACCTGAATCACCAATGGAAGCTCCAGATATTGCCGTCATCCCAGCAGTGATTGGATTGTTAGGGATAGGAAACCGCCTTTCTACTTCCTGCCGCCAGAGGGTCCGGGTGCACTTCCGGCGTCCGTACGCCTTCTTCGGCGTTCTCTTGTTAATGGCCGGCGGCGGCTGCTGAGTGGGACGCAGATAACCGCTGCTCACACAGGGGAAGACTCACTGCCTCCCGTTTTCCGCTCGCTGCTAGTGCCCGAGCTCGCCAGCATGTCCGTGGTGCCGCCCAATCGCTCGCAGACCGGCTGGCCCCGGGGAGTCACCCAGTTCGGCAACAAGTACATCCAGCAGACCAAGCCCCTCACCCTGGAGCGCACCATCAACCTGTAAGTGCGGCCTGGTCCTCGCGCGCGGTTCTGTCTGCATCCCCTTGGCCGTGAGCGCCCGTAAAGACTCCAGTCTTCTGGTGCGCCCTCGGCGGCCTCCCCTTCCTTACCCTCCAGCGCCACAGGTTAGAGCACTACTTGAGAGGATTTTCCCTTTCCTGGAAAGATGGCTTGTTTCCATGCCCCTGGATTCATTGTAGGAAAACGCTTTGAACTCATTCTTTGCCCACGTCTGTGGAGATAACCAGCCGCAAACCGTGGTGTTTATCCTTTAACGGCGCGTATATGGCATTTTGTGTGTTTTTATTTGCTGTGAGTGGTATAACGTAGTATCGTTTTTGCCGTTTAGGCTTTGCTTTAATAGTAAGCTTTCGAGATCTATCTATAACGCGCAGGCTTGTCTTTTCCTCTGTTGCTTTCTTGAGTTTCGGCTCCTGAATACATTTTATTCGTCTGCTTAGGGCTGCCTGACTTCCCCCGTGTTCCGTTACATGTCCTCGCCGCCGCAGCGACAGCATCCGAGCAGCCAGGAGGCCCCAGCTTTGGGAAGGGACTGGGGCTTTTAGACCTTGGAGGTGGTAGTTCAGGCTCTAAGCCGTGTTTGACTCTTCGGCGTCCCGGGGACTGCAGAAGTCTAGGCTCCTATCCATGGGATTTTCCACGCTATCATACTAGAGTGGATTGCCATTCCCTTCTCCAGAGGATCTTCCCGACCCAGGGATCGAACTCCGTCTCTTGCCTGGCAGGCGGATTCTTGACCACTGAGCCACCTGGGAAGACCTTTCAGTCCTTGGAGAGGACCAAAATGTAGCTCCAGAGAACCCCTTGTGGGCTGTATTTTACTTTTAACATCTTATTTTTTAAGCGCTTCAAGCCATTGCATTTCGAAGCCACTCTCAAAAGTAATCTGTGGCAGGAAATTGAAATTTGGGCTATGTCTTGCTAAAGAAATTATCAGTATGCTTTTTCTTAAAAAAAAAAAAATCATTCTTGAGAGTTTGAGAGGCACCATGGTGCTGAGCTAATGGAGGAAAATGAGCAGTTTATGTTGGTCAGTATTTAAAGGATGCAAGGATTTACTGATTCTGGTGTTTTGGTAGGGCACATTAGGTGTTTCTCTACTTTATCTTCAAATAAATGAAATTTACTCAAAAGGGATTTGAATTGAAAAGATGGTTTTGCTTTATTTGACAGAACAGGTGATGGAAATTTAGGTAATAAAAATGTTGGGTTTATGAAATCTGGAACTAGTAGATGGTATACAAGTAATAGAAATTCCCTAGTGGTTCAGACAATAAAGTCCACCCGCAGTGCGGGAGAACCAGTTTCAGTCCCTGGGTTGGGAAGATCCCCTGGAGAAGGATATGGCAAACCACTCCATTATTCTTGTCCGGAGAATCCCATGGACAGAGGACCCTGGCAGGCTATAGAGTCCATGGGGTCGCCAACAGTCAGACACAACAAAGTGAATTCACTTCACTTCATACAGGTAGTACTGTATATGTTAATGGATCCCAGGTGGCACTAGCGATAGAGAATCCACCAGCCAGTGCAGAACAGGAGACACAGGTTTGATCCCTGGGTCATAAAGATCACCTGGAGGAGGAAATGGCAACTCCAGTGTTCTTGCCTTGACGTTCCCATGGACAGAGGAGCCTGTTGGGCTGTGGTCCATGGGGTGGCAAAGAGTTGGATATGACTGAACGACTAAGCATACACATACAAGTTAATATTTCTAGCTATAACACTAACTATACCATTTTAATTTCATATCACACCTTAGAAAAATCCTCATAGTATTCCCGTGAAATGGAAAAGGCTAAATGTTTTTTAAAAAAATGTGAAAGCATAGCTTCTGTATTACTTTCATTGGTTGTTATTGTTAGTGCTCACAGTTTTACCTTGCTTTTAACTTGATTATTCGATCGTTTTGCATCAGGCCATTATGTTGAACTAACTTGGTGAAAATGTTTCGTTTTTTGCTCCATTTAAGTTATGAGTTAATGGATTTGCAGTACTTTCCCTCTCCTATATGATCACAGTATTCAGAAGGAGTTGTGTTATGAATTCAGTTCACCTGGTTGAGTAAAGGCCTAAATTGAAAATAAGTTCTCTTTCCTCCAGTGTATTTTATGAGGAAATACTGCCTGAATGCTTAGTTTGTAGCAGGCACTGGGATTAATGCTGGGTAGACAGTGGTGAGGAAGTCAGGTATAGTCCCTGCTTCACAAAGCTCACAGTAGGATGGGAGTACTACAGGTATGTCTGGGCTGCCACTGACTTCACAGCTGAACAGTCTTATATTTCATCTTAATGGCATCTCTTGATGTGAGAGCTGGGTTTGCAATAGAGATGCATTAGAGCTGTCTTTAAATTCTAATTCAGGTGGTGAGAACTGAATGTTAATGTATATAAAGCCTTTTTGTTTTTAACTGCAGGGCACAAAGTGCTATGTGGGGTTGCTGCTACTCATGATGAAGATGTTAGATTTAGCATTGAGTCTACTGGGGAAGGTCCTAAAATCTTTAGAGCACCTTGGAAATAGTTTATTTTAGTTGCTTTAGCGCTGCTTCACTTATGCCTGGAATTTGGCTTCTGGGATTAAAGTAATTTTTTTTTTTTTTTTTTACATTTTGGCAACCTTGATTTGTTTCCCCTTCTAAGAATAGCTTAGTGGATTAGTTGTGTAGTTGTTGACTTCTAACACAAGGTGTTTTGGTAGACAAGATATGTTGGGGACAGGTAAGTGTAGCCAAAGCATTCTTACCCAAAGGCTTATAATCAAAGGCTGCTTTCTGTAAGTCTTACGATCAAAGGGTTACAAGGTGGTACCTGTGAAGTAATAATAAATAAACTTATTTTTAAGGAAAAAATATTTACTAGGCAAGAAGAAAACTTTTCAATATGTTATATTTTGAATTCTTGATAAGTAGAGAATGTTTATATTACATCTAGTCAGCAAAAGATTGAAATGACGAGAAAGGAAGAATAAAGATACTGAATAGAAGAAATGCTGGAGGCCCAACATCTTAGAAGGGAAAGAAAAGTTCATCTGAAGAAGAAAGGTACCAGAAAACTCTGACGATAGTTGACTGGGACAAATAGAAAGTAACTGGGGAGATGATGGAAAGTGGTGGCTCAGTTTGTAGGAAAAGACATCAGCCATTAGCACCCATGATTAATAGAATTTATGATTAGATTGGTAGAGGAGCCCAAGGGCACATTAGCCAGGCTGAGTGTTAGCATCTAAAACCAGAGAATCGCCAGTTACTCAGATAGCCACTCCTCTATGCATATAAGAGCTTTAAGGATACTGTCATTTGTACTTGAGAGTTCAAGTAGGAAGTAGCAGATTGAGCTAATGAAAGCTCTGGTTTTGGAGTCCAGAGAGCTAGAGTCTAATCTCTGCTGTCTTATTAATTAGTTGTTTAACTTTGTTCAAATTCTTTGTCTCTAAGTGCAATATATACACTTTTTACCAAGGTTTCATGTGATTGGTGTCTGTCCTTGTAATTTATGGTCTACAGTTTTCAGATATCTGTCTTTGGATCGCAGGTACCCTCTTACCAATTACACTTTTGGTACAAAAGAGCCCCTCTATGAGAAGGACAGCTCTGTTGCAGCCAGATTTCAGCGCATGAGGGAAGAATTTGATAAAATTGGCATGAGGAGGACTGTAGAAGGGGTTTTGATTGTCCATGAGCACCGGCTACCCCATGTGTTACTGCTACAGCTGGGAACAACGTTCTTCAAATTGTAAGTGTCATTGGAAATGAACAACTTTTAATAAGATGGCTGTTTTATGCAGCTTTAAAATACAGCTTTTGCTCTTAATCGTTTGTCTCAACAAACACGGCTGTTACTGGAGTCTTTTGGAAGAGAAAAACTCAAAAGCATTTTTTTCCTCCATTGCAGTGTTCATTTATTGTCTAACTAGAAATCTTCATTTTTCTGTGTATCATTGATGCTAATGATTGAGCTTGAGAGAAGCCCTATGAGACAAAACGAGTCCCAAGTTCAATTTCTAGATGTCTTTGTAGCATTACTGAGAACAGTTGATATTATTTCTTGCTTAGGATCAATAGTGTTTCCTGTTCTTAAAATGCTTTACATTTTTATAGATGATTGTTTAGTTTTCTCAAGTTTATAAATCTCTCAGTATGTTTAGTCCACAACTCTTTGACTAGATCGTGCCAAAAAGAGTGTTCTCAAAGAGTTTGGAATTTTTTAAAAAAATGACACATTCTTCAGATCTAGAGAATGTGGGTCCACTGCTCTCTGGGCATTTCTAGACTCCATTACCACTAGATAACTTCCAGAGAGAAAAAATTGGGATGTACTGGTTTCCAGCAACTATGTGATGTTTATGTTGTGGTACATATTTTGTTTAAGACTAGGGTTTATGTACTGTGAATGTTGTGAATGAACATGAATTCAGTTTTCTGGCACATTCTTCCCCCTCCATTTGACGTTTGTTTGCTTTAATTGCCTTATGTGACACCGAAATGTGTTACGAAGCTACTTGATAGAAATAGTAATTATTGTGTTTTTCCTGTTAACCAAATTTGTTATTACAAGTTGAAAGCTGAAATTTTAACCTTTATACAGACCTGGTGGTGAGCTTAATCCAGGAGAAGATGAAGTTGAAGGACTAAAACGCTTAATGACAGAGGTATTTTTCTGTTTAACCACTTTGATGATTTCATTAATGCTCATCTAAATACCGTCAACTTAATGCATAGTCAGATTTTTTTATGCCTTGAAAAGGATGAGTTTATCTTAAATATTTAGTTTTCTGTAAATAACACATAAATCTTAAAGTGTTAGTACAATGTTTATTTTCTGTAAGTTGAACTTATACTTTGTCATAGCATTATTTTCCATTGAAATAGTTGATGTAGCAATAATGGTTAATAAAACAGTATTTACTGAGTATTGATTGCTAAGCAATGTTCTAAGTGCTTTACATGCATAATTTGTTTAAACATCATAACAGCATTAGGAAGTGGGTGCCGTTAATCCTGTTTTACTGCTAAATTAGGGCACAGAGAGTGCAAGTAGCTTCCTTAATGTTTTACAGCTAGTGTGTGGTGAAGCTGGAGATTTGAATGCAGGTAATTTTATTCCAGAGTAGGTGTCGGAATTTTGACAGGACAGTGATTCCTGTTACATACCTATTTTCATTTTTGCACATATCTTTTAGGCTTTGCCCAGGTTGTACTACTTTTAGAAGCTGTTCTAATCTCTGTCTGTAAAGATGTGGGGCCAGATGCATATAGATGCTGGAGGTTTTTGAGATTGTAGGCTGTTTCATTAATAAATAGTTTTCTTTCTTAGCCTGCAATCCCCCTTAGTTACAAAACTAATACATATTCTCTGCAAAATCCTTGGCAAATACAGAATAGAGACAAAACTAAAACCTGTATTTCTTTCACTTTGACTTGTCTTTTTAGTATTTCTAAAACGCATTGTTACTCTTAAATATTGTGCTGTGTTTGAACTTTGATTTATATACGGTAGATTGGACCTACCTGCTTACCTCAGCTTTTTCTTATAACTCCACCAAAAAACATTAAAGGGGTTTTAGAAAGATAAAAGTCCACTAGCTTGATGAAGTGTAAAATGAGACAGTAACAAGGAAAAAGTGTTTGAAGGTAGAAGGCAGATGAGCGAATCATAATTGACTTAGTTAAAACCTCAGCCTGCTAGAAGGCTAGTCAAGGACCCAGCACTCTAGAACATCAGAAAAGCTTAGGAATTGGGGGTGCCTGTGGAAGAGGGGGTGTGCATGGACTGAAAGCTGAATTGACGGGCAGTCTACATGAGATTATTGATGTACCTAGATCATCTTCCCTACTTTACATTTAGGCAAAGACTGGCTGCTGGTTAATTCTTGGTAGAGGTTGAATTGGAAAACATTAAGCAGTGGACAAGTTAAGGAGGTGGGAGAGTAAGTGAGGTTACGTCCTACATAGTGAGACTTCTGCTCGGCTGATAGTGTTAACAGCTAGTTTTACACACCCCAGGCTGAAGATTAGAGGGTGTTTTTTTTTTTCCTGGAGAAAATGGAGAGTTCCAAAAAATACTTTGATTGTAGATAATATTTGGGAATCTCCCCAAAGAACTAGGGTAGCCTTGTCACTTATGTACACAGAGTTGTCAGTTAAGCAGCTTATTTTACCCTTAATTGCGAGCAGGTAACCAGTATCACCGGGCTTTTGGGGAAAACGTCTAAACAGGAAAGAGCAAAAGAAGCAAAGGGAACTTAGCAGAAAGAGAAAATTCAGTTATCAGCGGAATTATAGTTAATATTATTGATGTGATAAAAGGAGATACTGTATCTGTAGAACAGTGTGCCTGTTCTACACAGTAACAGCAACAGCAGAAAAGACCATATAGCCAACAAAAAAGGACTCATGAGTAATTTTTTTACAAGGCAGAATTAAAAATTGAGTAGCGAGTTAAAAAATTGAGTTGAAATCTACCAGAAAGTAGAACAAAAAGAACATAGGTAAGAGAAAAGGATCAGTATAAACTGTACAAACAACAGGGACCTACTGCATAGCACGGAAAGCTATATTCAGTATCTTGTAATAACCTATAATGGAAAAGGACTGAAAAAGGATTTATATGTATTTATATGTATAGCTGAATTGGGTTGCTGCACACCTGAAACATTGTTAAGCAACTATAATTCAATTAAAAATTAAAATTAACCTGGATAAATAAAACAGAGGAAAAGGAATTAGCAAGCAATAATTCAAGAAAGTTTCCCAAACCTAGTCATCAGTTTTTGGATTGAAAAGACCTACTGGCCTTCTCTTTTGAAAAAGGGTAAAGAGAAAAATCCTGAAAGTTTCCAAAGTTGGGGAGAAGGAATGGGTAGACCTGGGTTAAATACAAAAACATCAAAGTCAGAAATGGCATCAGCCTCCCAGAAACAATACCAAAAGCTAAGTCATCATGGAGCATACCTTCATAAATCTGAAAGTACATAGTTTCCATCTGAGACTTTTTTATCTAATCAAACTATAAGTCAAGTGTGCAGATAAAGTTATGTCCAGCCCGGCAGAGTTTCTAAAAAAGTGATGTGTTTTGTACCTTTTTTTAGGAAGCTAGTGGAGGATATTCACCACCAAAAGGAAAGAATGAACAAAGAAAGAAGGGGCAGGGTTAAGAATATAGAGAGGACTAATAACACAGGAGAGAACAAGGGAAGCCCTAGAACTCCAGCTGTGAATCGGGGCTGAGAGCAACTACAGATTGAAGTAGGATGATAGAAAAATGTCTCTTAGAAAAATAGAATAATATTTGATAGACTAATGTTTGAATTGAGAAGAAATTTAAGTTCTTGTGGAGAATGTGGGGAATGAATTAATGATAGTGAATGAAATGAGGTATCATCTCTGAAGGAAAGGATAGTTGTTCAAGTAGGGATGTGTAATTATAGTTTAATAAATGCTCTGCTGATTCACCAAGTCATATTAAATACTGACTATTGATTTAAATACTGACAATGGGAGCATGGTAGAAGAGAAAGTATGAGTGGGGAATATGATTTTAAGATCTAAAGCCTTGTTCCACAGTAGAGGGTGTTAAATTTTTTAAAAGATTTTTAAAAATGAAAAGCAATCAAGAAATGATCATAAAAGAATGTTAAAAATGTAACTATTAGAAAGTACAGTAGAGAACTTGACAAATACTACCTCAGCCAGTAGTATCAAGGTTAATATCAAAATCATGTTAATAGAATGTACCCTTGCAATGATGTGATGAGAATGAAACTTTACCTCTGTGTTTTTCCTTCCCCAATTACCTGAAATCTTAGTCTAATAGAAGGACATTCTATAATACAAAATACCTAACTCCTACTCCTCGAAACTGTGAAGGTTATCAAAAATAAGGAAAGTTTGAGAAACTCAGTCTTAGAGAAGCCTGAGGAGAAATGCAAATATAATGTAATATCCTGGGTGGGATTCTGGAACTGAAAAAAAGACATTAGGTAAAAATGAAGGTTATCTGATGAAAATATGGACTTCAGTTAACAATAAGGTTATTGGTGTTGGTTCCTTGGTTGTGACAAATACGCTATCTTAATGTAACATGTTAATAGTAGGGAAAACTGGCTGTGGGATATTTGGGAAGTCTCTTCAATCTGTAGATGCTCTCAGCTCTGATTCACAGCTGGAGTTCTAGGGCTTCCCTAGTTCTAGGCTTCAACTTTTCTGTAAACCTGAAACTGAGATAAACAGTTTATTTAAAAACAAGAAGAATGTTTTTAAAAATGGAGGCAAATATCAGAGGGGAAAACGGCTAAGAGTTGAAATTTGTAGCCAGTGGGAATGGTAAAGTGGGACAGTTAACTGCTCTTTCTCATGAGCTTTGTAAAACCATTTTGGCTAATTAAAATATGTAGAGCATAGCTCTGATTAAGTTAAATTTAATCTTATGATATACAGATTTATAGAAAGGAAAACTGAATTTTGCATACTTATTTCTGTAGCTTGGTTAGGTGGGTGATTTACAAAAGCTGTAGTTGATTTTATTTATTTATTTATTTATTATTTATTTATTTATTATTTATTTATTTATTATTTATTTATTTATTATTTATTTATTTATTATTTATTATTATTATTTATTTATTTATTTATTTATTTATTAATTATCACAACCATAGTGTGTAGTTGATTCTAGAAAACTGATGTGTGCCGTTGGCTGATATAGGTAATTAATCTTTGGTTTTCAGTGCCAAGACACAGAACAGCTGGGTTGGTCCTCCATCATTATGTTGTTGCTAGCTTGCCAGTTTGGAACGAATAGTTTATGTCTTGGGCAGAATGACACAGATAAATTATAGAAAGGAAATTTATATGGGGGGCATATTAGCTATTTGTCTCTATTAGGAGTGTTGTGAAAAATACCTTCTTCACTGAAGAAGGATATTCATTGGTATGTATATTTAGTTGTTTACCGGCTCTGTCATTTCTTTTTGACAGATATTGGGTCGTCAAGATGGAGTCCTGCAGGACTGGGTCATCGATGACTGCATTGGCAACTGGTGGAGACCAAATTTTGAACCTCCTCAGGTCAGCGTTCAGTTATATTTGCTGGGCATTTGGAGAAATAGGAAACTGATTTAATTCTAGCCATTTAGAAAGTTCGTAATATAATTTGACTTGAAATTTCCTTTTTTCTCTCATTAATTTAAATTAAAAAATAAAAGCCAAGCATTTTTTCTTTTAAAGGAAAATTTCAAATATATACAGAAATAGCATAGTAAAAGTGAACAAATCCCATTAGCTGTCACTCACCCCCACCAGTTAGCTCATGGTCATACTTCAGCAATCCTATTCCTTTTGACTGCTCCGTCTCTGCTGTCCACACTTTTGCTGTTTTGAAGCACGCTATCCTCACTGGATCTCTGATGGCCAGTGTGCATGGTTTTCATGATCATGTAAGGTACCCCAAAGCCTGGGCTAGCTAGCTGTCTTGATTCATTAATCCCTAGGGATGGCTCTGGTATGGAATTACTGTAGTCGGAGGACTGTTTAGGTTCTGTTGGGATGGCACAGTGGGAAATAGGCTTTTCTAATTAGGTAAGAGTTAGATAGACTCCTTGAATCCTGGCATCATTGCTTAGCTGTATCATTATGGGAAGGATACTTCAGTCTCTTTGCACAAGTTTCTTACAGAAATGGGGGTGCTGATACCTCCTTTTGGCAGCCTCTGTTTTTATCTTCCTTTCCCGTTACGCCTGTTTTTAGCACTTTTTTTAAAATTCCCCTGCCCTCAAATACTTCAGAAAGGAAAGTAGGCTTCTCTGAATGTATTATGGGGGGATGTAGGAGAAGTTTCATTATGTGTACACAGGAGAAGAAAAAGAAATCTTTGTTAGACTTTTAGAATTCTCTGTGTAAAATTCTTCTTTCTCAGATAGCAACCCTCCCTCTGTAATTCTCTTCTTCCTTTACATTCTTCAAAATGTTTTCTCCATTTTCACAAACAATTTGACTTTGTTCAGCTGACAGAGACCGCTCATCCAGTGTTCCTGCAGCATTGTCCCATGTTGGGGGTGTGGTGGTTGTGGGGAGAAATTTGCGGTCGAGCACCTCATTGTATTTAAACTTTTTATTTAGTAAACATGGTCTGCATCAGGATTCTAGCAAATTTAACTTTGTAATGATATGTTTTTAAAAGAACTTTTATTATAAATATGTCAAATTACATTGTGTTTAAACTTGTCAACCTGTAGTTGTTTCTGTGACTGAATCATTTACTGCTTGATATTTTATATTTATTAAAGCTTGTATTTATTAGTTCATCCATTAGGTACCAGAACTATTAGGTAAAGGGAAAACTAGAAAGGATTCTTCTTCAGGCAGTTTACACTGTATTGGGGGATAAACACATAAGAAATAGATGAAGTCATGGTATACATGTTAAAATTCTGTTGGGGTTATAAAGAAGTTGGTCTTCAGGCCTGATACTTGAGCTTAAAGTCTGAAATGGGAAAAGTTGGTCAGTGGAGGCATAGAAGGTGTCAGGGATGTCTTGGCAACTACAAATTATTCTCTTGTTATTTTAGTACCCATATATTCCTGCACATATTACAAAACCTAAGGAACATAAGAAGTTGTTTCTGGTTCAGCTTCAAGAGAAAGGTAAGTTACTTTGTTTTGAAGGCAGCCATCTAAAAACTTCTGTAGTGTAATTTCAAGGGTACCTCTATTTGTGTTTTTCCTCAAGTTACTTGAATTTGGGGATTTGTCATAAAACTAAAAGCACATACCATTTTTATCCAGAATTACCTAGTTTTTCTTGCATATACCAGTTATGTTACAGGGGAAGAGTAAGTAACTAGAGCCAAAAATATCAGATTATAGTATTTTTAATAACTGTTCAACTGCTGGTATTGATTTTCACATTGTGGTAAACTGAAAATTTTAGGAGACAGATGAATTGAATTTTTTTTAATGGAATCTTTAGCTCTGTTGTGCACATTAACAACTAATTACTCTGGTTTTTGATACTTTTAAAATGGAATTCAAAATAAATTAGAAGATCAAGGGTCTCCTCCTTCTCCCAGAGCCAGCACTCATAAGGTGCTCTTGGTTGTTAACAGCATGGATTTCTTTAGAGTCCATTTCAAAGCTGTGACTGACCTTTGCTTGAAAGACCACCAGAATGTGTTAATGAGAATTTTTTTTTCCTCAGAAATTTCTCAAATGTAAAATTGATGATTACTAGTGAAGTAGAAGCAGTGATTATCTAAGAAAGTATAGAAAACAAATACTGTTTTTATTTTAGCTGATGAACACTGTTTTTGTTTTAGCCTTGTTTGCAGTCCCTAAAAATTACAAGCTGGTAGCTGCACCACTATTTGAACTGTATGACAATGCACCTGGATATGGACCCATCATTTCTAGTCTTCCCCAGCTTTTGAGCAGGTATGGAAAGTTGGGCTTTTTGTGTTTGCTTCATCTAAACTGCTGGATTTAAAAAAATTCAAGCCACTTGAGGAGGGATAGTTCATAAATTTTGGTCTTCAAGGAAACTAAGACAATAGATGGATTCCTAGGTCTTGTGTAGATTAAGCCAAAGATGACTGTGTCCTCAGACCTTAAGTTGCAGCATGACATTCTGGTATTTGTGCATCTGTTCTTCTCCATATCTGCTATTTTCCACAGGTAAGTTTGAAATCTTCATTCAAAGAGGAGATGGTAAAACCATAGTTGACAATGTATAATAAATATGATGGGAGTTATGTATATAAAACTGTGGAGAATTGAATCTCTTGTAATGAGTATTCTCATTACTCACTGGGAAATCTATTCAGGTCCAAGTTGGGGCATGTAGGATTAAGTCCTGAATTTTTACATGGAGTTTAATTTTTTTTTTAAGGCAGATGGAGTGATGAGAAATGTGTGTTGTTTTGTTTTTTCAACTGACTTGTACTGGTTGAGGTCCTTGTCAATAACAGATAGGACTCATAGAATAACATAATGGTTAATAATATGGACTCTACAGTCAGTGTGTGGATTTGAATTCCACCTTCTTTGCTTCCTGGCAGTGTGGTCTGACAAATTATTATACCTATTTCTTCACCTGTAGAGGGGGATGGTAGACCCAGCTTCATAGATTTATAAGGACTAAGTGAAATAACACATAATAAAGTGCTTAGAATAATGCCAGCTAAGTGTTTAACAAATGTTACTTTAAAAACAATTCAGTTGTGTTCTTGGCCTTCTGTAAAAGTGTGTTTACTGTGAAATTGGTCTTTCTGTTCTGGCTCAGAAGTCAGACTTCCTCTTTTGTTCCTCTGCTTTGGTCTGTTAATGGGTTACACGCCGAAGTATGGGATGTGAAAAAAGAGTCATGTTATTCATTTATTTAAACACAGTCAGGTAACAGTAATTGGGCTGGGTGGTCAGAATACAAGGAGGTATAAATGTCTGCTTCCCTCAAGGAAAGTGGATGATCAAACTTACACTATTAGAATTTTTTAAAATTATAAGTATTGAGCAGCATTGAACGTAAGATGTGACAAGTGGAAGAAAAGGGTGTCTATGTAGAAAATGCCCAAAATATCAAGGGAGAGTTTAAATGTCCAGATAAATTTATCTAAGGTAGGAAAAATGTAAATAATATTGTTTTTAATAAAGATATTGTTCTTTTTAAAATTAGGTTCAATTTTATATACAACTGAGTTGCTGCAGAGCAGAGAAGTGAGAGAAGCCGTCTCTGTGAGCACAGCTTCGCGCAGTGGAGAGTAAACGTCCCTGAAGTTTGGTGTTCTCTCTTTCCCAGTCCTGAAATCACCTCCTGCTTTCTATTGTCTGAATAGTAAAGTTAATATGAAAAGCTAGATTGTGCTGAAAACAAATGTGATATTGTTTAGTTTACTTTTGGTTCTACACAAATATTTTTTGTACAACATTAAAGAAAGTGGACTTCTTTCTATGTTTTTTTGTTGTTTGGTTTTTTAATTTCACATTAAACTTGTAAAATTCATAGAGCCAAGGATTCCTTTTCCCCAACTAGGCAGGTGAATGTTAAGATATAATGGCAGATTAAGGTCAGTCAAGCCTGTGGGACTCTTCACTCTGATACCATTCTTGGGCGTATACTTCCAAGACCATGTTGTAGATTTTTGTGATGAGGATTGTCTGTTACTTTGGGGAACTACATTTGCTTGATTGAATCCAAGGTGCAACTGCTATACCAATTGTACACTCTTTATGAGTTATATCACAGCAGAACTCCAAGTATATTACTGATGAGTACATTTTATACCAGCATAGCTAGACCTTATTTCACAAGCAACAGACATTAGCCATACAGGAAACTGTTAAAATTGACTGGGTCGGGGAAGTTGTGGGAATTGGTATAAAAAGAGGTCCAGGGCTCAATTAACCCCCCCCCACCCCCATAATGGAAGTATTTATTATCTGTGCTCTTGTGAAATTATGTGTCTTAGTTATTTTTATGGCTGTGGTGAAATGGTGATCTGTGAAGGAAGTTTCTAAAAGTGGGTCGGTTAGGTTTTGAACTCTTGGATTATAAAGTTTGTTATTTCAATTAACGTGGAGTTAACAGCCAACGAGATGAAAGTTTGGTTTTAAAAAGTGACATAAAGGCTTTTCAAAAATATTTTGGAATAATCAGAATTAGATTTTGTCAGTCTAAGAGAAAAATACCAAATTTAAGAATCCTAAAAGCGCAGTTAAATTAGGATCAAATTTGAGGGAATAAAAAAAATTCTTAAGGCAAAAGAATTGGCCTTGTTATTGTTTAATAGTATATTGTGTATGCCTTATTATAAACGGTTGATTGTAGATTTAATGTAAAGGAAGTCTTATAAGATGCAGCTATTAAAATAGATTGCTAGTTATGTTTTTCATAGATAGAAATGAACTTTTGGTTAGTTGTACATCTTTATGGTACTGATGACAGAGCTATTCTCCTAAATGTTGGGTGATGTGAAAGATACATCATATATTCTTCCTATTTAGGCTTGAGAAAATCAGACCAAGAGCAGCTGAGCAATTTTAAACATTCAACTTTATTTAGGTGAGGTCCTAAGAAACCTTCACACAGTTGTGAATCGAATAGTGTGAATCTAACTGTGCCTACTGATAGGTGAGCACCTGTCTCCAGGACCAAAAATAACCAGGGATCTCCTTTGAAAGAGCCCCTGTCTCTATGGATAGTCCCCCTCCTTCAAGTGTAACAGTTCTGCCATTCTGCTTCACATTCACATGTTTCTAACTAACTAATTTTACTGTTGAGCTCACTGATGCATCCTGCAAGATTGGGGAAGGCAGAGATGGACATGGCCCGATCTCCAGCCTACCTTCCATAATTGTTTCTGGCCTCCAATTGAAAAGCTACAGTGACCACTTTTCAGGTGTGTTAGCTCATGCCCTTTGGGGAAAGTGAAGAGAGGCACACTTTTTCGTGGTGTGATGGGAAGTGTTGTCAGTAAGGAGTGTTAGAGTTGAAATGTCATCCAGTTCGAGGCCACTCATGTTCTTCTGTAACTCAAGCTTTGACCTAGGAATCCTTTCTTGATCATTACTTCCAGTAGTATAAGTGCTTGATTGATCCATACCTTGGAGCTTACGTGAGAAAAATAGTAAGCTGGAGTTCCTAACCTTGAAATATAGTAGACCTGATTTTGAGTTAAAATTCTTAATACAAACATTTTAAAACTTGTTTTTGAACTTGTTATAGTTGTATCCCAATGCTCTCATGTTAGGTTTCCTGATGAAAATAGAACTGGGGAAGTTCAAATTTGAGGTAGTCCATTAGAAAGAGGGTACAGGGTACTGTTTAACACTTTGATATGGAAGTTCTTATCATTTCTTCAAGAACTAACAGTCTTAAAATGTTCATTCCAATTATTTACATAATCAATACTGACTAGTTTTAAATGACTTATATGTTTGAATGCCTTGTTTTCCAGGTTTGTAAATGAAAGCCTTCTTTTGCATTGTATAATTAGAATATATGCCATGTTCTTTTCCCTGAGTAAGTAGTGCATATTCTACATAAAACTACTAAATGGCATTGGAAAGTATTCAGTAGATTGAGGGGGGAAAAAATAGTTTTACTCAAATGTTTTAAATCATATTTAGGATTGACATCCCTTTGAAGAAAAGTGAAATTTGTGGTTTTATCTATGTGATAAAGACTTGTGATTTTTTTTTAAGTGGGTGATACTTAAAATAGCATAATGACAGTTCTGTGTCTGAATCCAGCTTTTGACAGCAGTTAGAAGATTTTTTTACTTTTTATCGTTGTCTTCCCGTGTAATTATTACATTATTGTGTGGTGCAGTAATTCCTTTTTTATGTTTAAGGATTTTGTTGAGTTAGTATTTTATTTGGATCAAACAACTAGCCAGTCTGTTTTCTTATGTTTAGTCAGAAGTGAGAGGTGGGGTTCCTCAGATTATGCAAACCAGCCAGCCATTCACTTAAAATTCCCTTAAATAGTGTGACTCTTATGCTTTCAGTTTTTTAATGCCTGTTTTTTAAAGTACCTGCTCAGTCACTTGAGACGAAATGCTTGGAGTACATTTTCTTCCTTGGAGTTCCTCAAACTTGATGTTTTCACCCATTCATAGTGTTTGGAACAGTTTATGCCCCACACTAAGACCACTTCCAAGAGCACGAAATTGCATATTGCATTTGCCAGAAGAGGCTTAGTGGGCTCTGACTGTGATACAAGTCAGCGTTTATAAGTGTAAGGTTTGGCTTCCCGTAATTATTCCACATGGTTTACATCACTCATTATTTGGGTTAAAGTGGACTCATTTGAAGCTATTTGCTTTTGTTAAATACATAATGAGAAGCATAATACTGTAATTTGACTTGAGCCATAAAACACACTTTAATATTAGCTTTTATTATATTTATCTAGCTTGTTTTGGGGAAAAAGAAAACTGACTAAAACCTAAGTAAGTCTAGATTAAGCCAGGTAAGATGTAATTTGTATTTTCGTGTTGGATTGTATTGTGAGACTAAGAGTTAAGTTGGGAAAATGTATCATGTTCTTTTAAGGGAAAGATCAGTGCTTTAAAAACTTAAACTTTGGTTGCTGTGTTCACATCATAGTGTACAGGAATCATTTATAGTTTGACTTTGAGAATTACTCTGGCGTTAAGTTTATAGAAAAATGTATAAAAGAAACTGAAGTTTTGGTTATATTTTTATAATTGTAAAAAAGTTTGATTAAAATGTTCACTGTTCTTTTTTTATTTTATTTTATTGTCATTTCAATAAAAAAAATTAAAACAGAATGACTGAATTTTGTGTGTGGCTACTAACCATAGTCTGCCATTAGAAATCCTGCGTGATTCTTTTTCAGTGTCGTTGGCCAGGGGCCATTACATTAGGTAAGAGACAACTTGCCTAACAGCAAGGACCTGAAGACCTGGGACATCTATGTTGCCCTCCTCTCACATTCCTCCATTGTGTGTTGGCAGTGGTCTTAGGCAGATTCAGTTTCCTGCAAGGTGAAAGGGTCATTTTCTGCAATGGGAAAGGACTTGGAACTTGAAAACTGGGATTTACAACTAGACATAAATTTTGTTAAGTATGTTATATCATTGAGGCCTCAGTTTCCATAGAGTATTGACTTCAGGTTTTTTTCTTTTAATCAGATTTGCTTGAAGGTCATGATGGTCTGTGATAGCATGCTTGCTACTTCTGTAACACTTTGCAATTTAATTCCATCATTGTAATAGTACCTCAGAACTTGAGAACATGTGTAATAAAACCACAGCATTGAACAAATGTTGAACAAACCTGATAAAAGTTATTGTGAAGTTTTTCTGAAAATTTTACTACTTGTATATTTTACAGCAGGCACCACAGAGCTATGAAAAATTATGAAACAAAAGCTAAATGTTGTAATATTCCCATTAGCTTACATTTTTTCCCGATGAACTTGGTTATTTTTTCCCCTCTGCTAGACTCAGTAGTGGAACACATTGGTCCAGCTAATGAAAACACCAACGAAATTCTATGGGCAAACAGTGAAGGCTGCTGGATTAGATGAGGTTTGTTTCCTAGGCTGTTCAGAACCTTAACACAAACACTACTCAGCCCTTCTCATGGCAGGGTGAAAATCAAATGGTCATGGGTATAGAAGGATTTTGGATATTTAAAAAAAATAAACAATAATGTATCTAAATAATGAATCCTCACAACTCTGGTTTATCTGAAATGCTATGTTTCCTTTAAATCAAACCAAATCAGAGCCCCCACCCCATAAAGATGACAGGGAATTCAGTCTCAGTCATTATTGGGAGGAGGGGCCTACCCAAAGTCAAGAATCCAGGAAGGATAAATGGTACTCTGAAATGAAGGTGGAGGTGGGGAGACCTCTAGCTTCCGTCATGGACTCCATGAATATTTGTCCAATTGCCTCCCTGTCACACTTAGGCCTTAGAACCAGATGATGCAAGTGGCCCCTATGCTTATGGTCCCACCTTCCTAGGCACACTAGTATTCATCCTCTTGAGTTTTGTTTCCTTTGCTGCTCCTGTGATGATGCAGGAAGCAGTACAAAGAACCAAGAGCATTGGTTAACTTTAGAAAGTGGGTTCTATCTTTGGGCAAAAAAACCTTGAGGGAAGGATGTGCAAAAGCCTGGCTGCCTACTTGGAGTGGGTGAGGACAAAATGTTGGTAGAACAAAT